GAGCTAAATTTATGCTCATTGTGTACCTAGCAGGGTTGTATACGACTCAATCAATAGCAATCAATTCAATCACGACAAATTTGGGAAACCAATCAAATCAATCAAGTCAGAGCAGTTTTCGGGAATTGATTCAATCGACTCAAACGCGACAATGAAAGGAATCAATCAACTCAATCAAACGACTCAAACCAAGATAAACATTAGGTTTTTTGCCCCACCAACTTGGAAAAGTGTCCATAGCAGTCTGGTGTACCTACCTACCTACCTACCTACAGAAGAAACATAAAAATATTGTCATTTAAAATTATAAATTGCCATGCCATTCAAAGTTTCTATGTAATAAGGAAGGATACCTATAGTGATGGACAGGTGGATCATGATACCTATTGAGGTTCAATGGGTAGAATTGTAGCAGAAGATTCATTTAATGGGTGCAAAATAACCCAGTAGTTGACTCGCCCCTTAACCCAAATCACCACCTTTCACCTAAAAGTTGTCAATTTAATTTTGGCCATATTCCAACTCAATTTACACTAAATATCAGATATTGCAGTTGAAAGTTGGCTGCTCGGATTTTGGCAGTGTTCGTGATTTGGCCATTTACCCTACACCATGTCTATTTTAATGGATAATATGCATCAATAACATATTAACCATAGGGAAATAGAAATAAATATCTTACCTGCATGTGACGGTTTCGGTTAGACAGAGACTGACGGGCAGCCTGAAAAATCTTTCCACACAATGTGCATTTGAGACGTGGGATGTTGTCAGATTGGGAAGGAAGAGATTTGAAGTATTTAGCGGTCCACGGCTCTGGACGTGGCATGTCAATGTTAGGTACCTATGTGAAGAATTCAAAACATTTTATTGCAATACAATTTGAAACTGTTAGGACTGGGGGATAGGAATGAGGATTAAAAATATATTTAAAAGGAAATGGAGAGGACAGGGACTCTGGAACCACAGGATGAGTTAAGGACAAAGGAAAAAGAAACAAGGAAAATTAAAACGCGAAAACGGCACAGTGCGACTGCGAATCAAAGAAAACGTTTTGCCAATAAGTATGCCAAGCTTTTATAAATCCTTATTCTACGTCTTTTCATTTTTTGGTAAGATGACGTCATTGATTATCATGTAGTATGGTAGATCATCATAAAATAAATCGGTTGTACAACACCAATTTCGTTGTAATTATTAGGTATTTCATTTAAAACCACTTAATAATATTCGGTAAAATATTTTAAGGAAAATGAAATATATTGAATATGTTATGCTTAGGCTCTCAGGAGAAAAGGATCAACAAACGTTCTGCTGCATATTAAACAATGCAGCAAATTAGCTATTAATTAGGCACGCAACCGTAATTAGCGAGACGAAAACGGCGCTTTTGATTCAGTTACTTTTGTAGGGGTTTCAGATATTTATGAGTTCAGTGGGTTGTTTCTGAGGAGATGTGGAGATGTGAATTATTAATTAATCACACTTTATTAGTATATAGGGCCTTGCACTTTATCATCTGGATTTAAAATAAGTTTCCTGCTGAGTGCAGAAAGGTAGGTAGGTGCATCGCCAGGTTCTATCACCAGGATTGGAGCAGTTATTGCAGTTGAAAGTCAAAGTTGGCTGTTCATGCTTAGGCCCTGTTCTTTATTTGGCCCTCTACCCCATATTGCAGTTGTGATGACAAGCAGTTTTCAGTGTTGTTTTGTGATCTTTGATGTCATCAATTGGTGTCATTATTTTTCGTCAACTAAAACTTATTTGAACCTTCCATTCAATCGACTCAATCATACAAGTCACTCTAATTTTCGGGAATCAAATCAGTCAACCAGTCGCTGAAGTCAAACGAGTCAGTCAACCAGTCATCTCGAAAAGTCAATCGACTCAATCCAATCAACTCAAAATACGCGTTGAAACAAATCAATCAATTCAATCGACTTGATTGGTATACAACCCTGGTACCTAGAAGCATTGGGAACAACGCTCTGACTGTACATTTTTAAATTTTTGCCTCTAAATGAAAACATTAACAATCAAGTACTTTGCGAGCGCAGTTTAGAAGCTCCCGTAATGTTAAAGTCCTATCTCCTACAAGTATGTAAATACTGCTCTAGGGAACCAACAGTTCGCATCGTACTAGCTTTAAATTATATCCATATTGTTCCCAGTACTTTGCTGAACACTGTGGTGAGTGTACATTTTTCGTTTTTTGCTTTACAAGCGTAAAATTCGTCTGGTTTTATACCACTTCATTCGCCTCCATAGCCCGGTAACGGCGCCGCGCGGCGCGGCCGGCCGGCGCCCGCTGTAGTTCCAAACACTGCCCGATAGATGGCAGGCGCAGAAGTGGTCCCAGCCGTCCCGGTACGAAAGCCGAAGACAGCAATATCAGTGGAGATCATTATCCAAAAAAGTCTTCGTATGGCTTGAAAAAATTCATCTGACGGAAATTGCCCTAATCGCTTGACCCCTTTGACGTGCCATTACTCCGTGCCGTGAATGAAGATCCCAAGCTTAACCCAGTTTCTTTCATCTTCACCATAAGGGTGATTCCACATGATTGCACCATTCAATTTGAGTCGATGGGTGGGCACCTTTAGAAAGGTAAGGCGGGATAATTCGTTTGGTTTTGAACACGGTGTAAGGGAGTTCCGTATCAATATAATAACGTCAAACGTTGACAATTGGAAACTGTTGAAGAAAAGAAGGAAGCGGACAGTTCTAGCAGTCAAATTTGCGATAGCAAAACGTTGGTATGTTACAAATTTGTTTTACATGCCTGATTATATCAAACGCCGTTCAAATAATGTATGTACAGCCCTCTGCAAACTGCGTGGTAGGTATTCTTTTTTGGACAAAACCGAAAATAACGCGAATACTATGCTTTCGGTCACTCAGAAATCGTAACAGCAAGACGCGCGAGACTCCGCACCCTACATTGGCATTATCATCGTATTCATTTTCCATCCAGTTTGGCAACAAAACCGAAAAGTTTATATTTGCCCCCAAAACAAACTTTTGCAATTTGTTGCCACACAAGGCGTATACTTTGTTTAGTGATAGACCCAATCGAAGGAGTGGAGCAGGCGCATCATATTTGCAGTCAGTTCCGACGGACTGATATCAAAGCTTTTGAGTTATTACCAGTTTTGTCGAAAAAAGAATACCTACCGCGCAGTCTGCTGAGGGCTGTAGTTGTACCTACCTATTTGCCGCTTACGGAGCTGACCCTTTTGACATTTTAACCGTCGTCATTTGACCTCTCCCAGTAGTCTCCCTGCTGTTAGGTGAGTTTACATGGCTGCTTGTGATGGCAAGCTGAGGAATGTTTGACGACGCATCATTCAGCTCACTCGATTATCATGGAGCGGTCTGTGTTCAGCGTTCTTCAGTCAAGCTGAAACAGCACACGACCAATCTGTACTCGGCGACAGCCTCGCCAGCAGTGCAGCAGTGACTTCGTGATAGGACAATGTATTCCGGTACAGTATACCCGTTTCCCATAAGCGCGAACCACCAGAGCCATCTAGCGGCAGCAGTCTGCGGACGAGGAGCGCTGCGGCACAGCATACCTATTCAGGCACTGACAGCCAGCGCCACCTAGCGACGGGACGATAAGTAAGCATTTGCATGACGGTTGCGAGCCTACCGCTTGATATAGGCTGTTGGGAACGATCTGAAGTTCTTTTTTATTTCATGGAGCAGATACAGAAGCACAAATCATTCTCAGCATCTCATCCCCCTGTTCAGGGCGGTATGGTCCACACTCCACATCATCCAACTCGAGTGGCTCCCATCCGGAGCACGCTCACTGGCGGTCAGGTGGCCGCTTGTGCGGCTGAGTAGCTTGTCCCTGGGGACGGACTCGGCCTCGGCGGCGCACTATGATGGCCTCCCAAACCAATGCCACCCTGGTGGTCTCCTTAAATCGAGAGGGCATTGCCCAACAAAATAGAATAAACCCTATTGAAAGTACATAGGTACTCAGGATTTGGCATAGGCGCGGGAGCCGGGGGGGGGCAGTGGGGGCAGCTTGCCCCCCAACTCTGGGGCCGTGAGGGCGTTGCCCCCACAGCTTTGAGACGGAATACCACACTTTTTTGCAATTTTTTTCTTTTTTGTTGAAAAAGCCAAGGGATGAAAAATATGTGGCCTAAAACCGGTGAGAAAACTAGATTTGGGGGTACCCTAGGTTGATCTCTATTATGGTGTGCCCCCCCCCCCCCCCAGTCTGAACGTAGTTCCCGCGCCCCTGGGATTTAGAGAAAATGCTGACTGACGATCAAACGGCAAGTTTCTAATCATTTTCACGGGACAGACAGGCAAGGAGCGCAGATGCAGCTCTCTCTCCGAGTGCTGCCCAGGAATTATGGAGTGTTTTCCGGTGGTGCGGGCGGTGCAGTGATATATCGACCACCGACGGTCGGCACTGGCGGCACATCGGGCGCCAAGGACGCCGCTCAACTCGGCCCATTGTTGTCTCTCGCTGCCGTCGCGGCCTATGGCCCACGGAGAATGGCACCGATTGGCCTCCCACTCCGGAACCGAGTCGCTCAGCGCGGCGGCCCGCGCCGTCTGTCAGCAGTTCCGAAAGCCAGACCGCCAGCTCTGAATGTCACGCCGTCGGTACCCAATGCCAAACCATCGACTGTCACCGGTACCGAATGTCAAACCGCCGCCTGTTATCGGTACCAAATGCATAGGAAGTTATGACCGGGAGACCGCCGCCCTTCACCAGGGCCTTTTCGGCAACTAGGCCAGACCATGGACTTTCCCTGACCGATAACGTCATTACAGGCTCTGACGGGTGATGACGTCTTTACAGGTTCTGACAGCCGCTGACGCAACTACAGACTCTCGCCATGTTTACAGCAGCTGACACTCACGTTACATACCGTAATATATCAACGATTGCGTCCAGTGTTGCAGACGTCTGTGCCTGTCGCCAGTGGCGCCCTGTTCCGACAGTCGCACCCGCCCCGTTCCTGTGCCGGCAGTTGCAGAGCACGCGCGCGCCCTTCGCCGAGGACGGGGCGCCCGTACAGGACAAGGAGGCCACGGCGGCGGTGCGCCGCGCCGAGTGGCGACTGGTGGCCGCCGGCGCCGACCGCTGCCTCTGCCTGCTCCAGCTGGCCGTCTTTGTGTTCCTCTCGCTCGCCTGTTTGACGTAGACGGCGCGTGGCCGCCAACTCCGCTACCTGCTACATAGACGGCGTGTGCACGGTCCTCCAAACAGGCGGAGCTGCGTCTCTCTCACCCAGGCGGACGCTTAATTACAACCAATTTGTGTACTTGATGAATGATTGACACTTACCAGTACGTACTGTGTACACCTCGAAAGTTAGAGCAGAACTATTACTTGACCTATGAGTGTATGGAGATACAGCCCCGTCCCACTGCACGGTACACATTCCAATTTTGGCAAAACGGAGAATAACTCAGGATAATTACTAATTAGCATTAATTCGGAAATAACAACCACAAAATGTACGATGATTTGCGCCCCAGATTGAGCCCATCATTGACTGAACTTTCCTCAGTTTGGCAGCAATATCCAAAACTCTGCAATCTGTATTCTGGCGAAACACAAACTTTGGCCTGTTGCAGCCAAACAGTGCAGGAAACTAAGGCGACTTGGGATGGAGCTTAGGTGTGGAGCATCACACCTCCGCATTATGTCTTCCGAGCGACCGATAAATTGGCCGCTGAGCTGTGCTCCGCTTTGCAGAAACATGGATCGCTAGCGGCAGTGTGACGGAGCCTGAATATTGCACCATGGCACATGTGCTCCATGTGAATACCTATTTAAGAAATACTACTTACATAAGTAAGCCATGACACATTTTGCTGTCTCTTGTATTCGTTGACATAATTGTATCTGTCCTACTTACCAATAAACTGAAATACATGTAGCGTAGGTATCCACTTAAAAACGTTGCATCTTTTGTAAATATGTTTCTAGTATTTGCAACGATAAAACTGATCACTTTTATCTCATTATAAAGTAAGGATAGTCTATCATTACTCTTCGCAGTCCATGTTTCAATGATTACCTACAAAAAACGACCGAGGAAACGATAAGTTGCGCTTCTTATCCATAAACTAAATGATGTTCAGCACACAGTTCATATATGTACTCTAACTACAATGATGGACTCAAAGAGAGCGATAGAGATAGAGATGGATAGATAGAGAGATAGAGAGAGAGAGAAAGACAGATAGATAGAGAGACGAAAGGATAGAGAGAGAGAGAGCGAGAGGGGGAGGAAGAGAGAGAGAGAGAGAGAGAGAGAGAGAGAGAGAGAGAGAGAGAGAGAGAGAGAGAGAGAGAGAGAGAGAGAGAGAGAGAGAGGGAGAGAGAAAAGAGACAGAACCAAAGCATAGAGTCCAATCGGAGTCAAAACATAGAAGATTGTCAAAGCAACAGAAACGTTTTTCCTTCCTATGTCCAAGTCCTTAGGCCTCTTGTCCGATGTCGCCTTGAAATTATTGCGTAGTGAAGTAACGCGTTTCCCTACAGCTCTGCAACTATCTGCTCTCTGGCATCCATATGAACATGGGCCAGCTTGACAAGTAAGCACAGCACCCACTAGAACAATAGGCATCATTTGATGTGAACTATTGAATCTCAGAGACTGCATGTAGCCATTGCTCAAGCAGCCTCAAAATCCCTGACTCCCGGTCCTGAGCTGCGTTCATACCGCATGATCGAAGCCGTGTCTAACATCTAGGCCTGTAGGCCTACTTCGTACCTACCGTGGACTCTGAAACTTTTATCATGCTTCTGTGTAATCTGAAACTGTCCTTACTATTTTGGTCGGTGCAAACGATGTTAGATGAATGGCTCGTGCACGCCATTGCCAGCTTGATTCAGCAGCGCGCCCCTTTCAACAGTAACACATCTGGTGTAAGTTACATGTTCACTTCTATAATACATTATTCTGAATTCTTTCAACTATTTACGTCTGTTGGTCGGCGTTGAGTAATAACTTTTTATTCGAATTGCATTCAATTGCATTGTTATTATGATGATTCCCTGATGGAGAAACCACAGGCATCGCAGCGTACAACTGTGAACGTTTAACGTCAGTGTTCACAAACGCGACGCTGATGTGCACGCGAACGGAGGGGGGGGGGGCGGATCGAGGGCCATTCAAATCAGGTACAACTGACCCTCACCCATCCTTGATTAGACACATTCAAAATTGTGATCTCATATTTGAAAAGATGATGTTACCAACGACCGATTTCATAACAGAGCGTACACTAACGTGGTTTGTCACCCATTCAGTTGTAATTTGCGCACAAACGGTTTCACAAAGAAATTGCGAACGCAATCGTGTCATGTTATTAACTACACAAGTGAAGGGGAAAACGAAAACATACAACCAGAAAATAACACGGCCATATATCATTATCGAGCCATCCAATACAAAAAAGGTGTGGTTTCAAAGGGCGTAAAGTACACGTTGCTTTAAAATACCTGCTGTATACCTACTACCACGCTTTATTGAATGGGCCGCAGGTCACGTGTAATCATTCGATTTAAATTGGTTAACTTCTACTCAAAATAAGATAATTGGTTAACTTCTACTCAAAATAAGATACCAACTTGAATTGACATAAGTGCTGACCCCTGACCGCGACTGTTCGTTTTCTTCATACCGAGAGACTGGCAACACCCCTATAGGTATATACACCGTTTTGTTCCTCATTGAGCTAAAATTCCGTGGAAAGAAAGGAGCTGGTGCGACGTTACGAGAGGCAACGATTGGTCAGTAATTTTAAGGTCTCAGGTCACACGACGACCTCTGAGGTCATGCCAAAGAACCCGGAGTCGGTAGAGGGTCCGGTGTTTGGTAAGTCACTTCGCTAAAAATGGTCGCAGAACTAGGATTCCGGCACCATTGTATTTGTCATGCTCAGTCGTGCCGAATGCTGGACAGCTTATGGGTGTTCCAAAAAAAGTGAGCCCCCTAACTTATATTGCTTTTATCTCCGAAACCGTATGTCCTACGATAATGAGAGACCCCTTGTTGGAAAGAACGGTCGATTTCGATTCTAGTAGGCTACCTAGTGTGGTTCTGAAGGATCACATATTACACTGAGAACGACCAGAACAAAATGTATTGCGAGATCGGGTGAAACACGGCGACGGCGGTAAGCCCTCTAACTATTATTGCTTTTATATCCAAAACTGTATGTCCTACGATAATGAGAGACCCCTTGTTGGAAAGAACGGTCAATTTCGGTTCTAGTAGGCTACCTAGTGTGGCTCTGAATGATTACATATTACACCGAGAACGACCAGAACAAAATGTGTTGCGAGATCGGGTGAAACACGGCGACGGCGATAAACGTGTACCTACGAGTATTGCTGACGGCAACGCACGACCGATATTGGAGTGGTAAAATACTGGTTGAACTAGGTCATCCATTCAGTTTTCAATTTTTATGATAAAAGTTCACGTGCGAAGAATGAATAAAACCACGTGAACTGAAATATGCAGTCAGTTGTGAAGAAATATCAACCATATCCCTTACAGCTAAATGTTTCACCAATAATTTGGTATTGAATTGTGCTTTTTACAATGCTGGCCGTGTTGTGCAAGATATGTAATGGAATTACGGCCTATCTAGATGGAATTTGATTGCTCTTTCTAATGAGCGGCTTTCCAAAGAGCTTTGGAAAGCCGCCCTACTAAGATCTAAGATACTAAGCCCCCAACTAAGATCGACTGTATCTCTGCAACCGTGCATTCTACAGCTCTGTAGAATGCACGGTTGCAGAGATACAGTCGATCTTAGTTGGGGGCTCACTTTTTTGGAACACCCTGTACATATTAGTAGCTCAGCAGGCAGCAGCAAGAATTCCGAGAGGACCGCCTACACTGCTATTTTGCTAAGTGCTATAGGTGCCATATGTCTAACGATGAAAGTTGAAAGCAATACTAAATGCGAGTGTCCGTCTTTCGAAGGCTTAATATTGAAAACATGCTCCGTTTTACATCTTGACATATTCGCGCAACATAATAACAACATAATAACAAATACGTGCACTGAATACTGTACAAGGTGTCTCAAAAGTTCGTTTACACATTTCCCATGTCAATAAAGCATATAAGAACCGGCAAAAAATCTAAGGTTTTGGTGTCCGTGTGTACACTAGACAAATATGCATGCTTTGACAACTGATTCGGAAGGTTGGAAACCAAACCTTTTTCTGTATCTCCAAAAATATTTGCCCATACCGATTTTCGTCACTCCGTCAGCTGCCGGAGGCTGATAAAAGGTTACCAGCTTTCAAGCTCTTGTAGGGGAATCCCCTGCAGTTTCTGCGTCGGATTTAGGTTTGACGAGCTCCCCGGCAACATCCGCTTCTCCCTGAAAGCCGACATCTTGCATCGACACCATCCGTGAGTATTTTGTAGGTCTTCTCTGGCGCTAACTTCTTCATGAATGACTGGCGCCGACTTCCCAAGCACCATTTTCCTTTTCAAAACAATCCCATTCCTGAACAAATGGGAAGTGCCAGGGGCAAATTTTTCGCAGCATATCGTAGCAGAATGTGTCGGCCATCTGTTTCTTAGACACATTTTGCAAATTTTGCAAATCCCGAACGCTCGTCATTCCCAATGCCAAGACCTTCGCTGGGTTCCGGAGTGTTTTCCTCAGGAGAGGTTCTGCTTTGTAAACGGCCAAAACCTGTCCATCGTGCGGTTTTGTCCGGATTTTGTGTGTAAAAGAAAGCTATTTGCTCCAGATCTACCTCTTGAAACTTCGTTAGATAAAACTTTACATTAATTGACACTTTTGGAGGGTCATTTGTCCTCGGCATTGACGATTTTCGCATTATTTTCCCTCAAAATTTAGCGTTATAGATATAATAAACAATTTTAAATGATATTTTGTCTTTATTTTATGATGACCTGCAATTTTTTAAACTGGGTAACCTCTGTCTGTGAGCTTCTAGTCAGTTTTCAATAGTTAGGACTGCATTTCCAGCTGCTTTCCGGAGCACGAGTCTGCTGCGGTACAAGGGTCGTTCAAAGCGCTGTTAGTCTCGCATGGTTTTGTCCTTCAAAAATTTTAGCCACCGTTTTTGTTAGATGACCATCATGTTGTACTCATCCTCGCCGACGCTTTGCCATGTGTCATTTCCGACCTAACCATTCCCATTACTCGTGAAGCAGAGAGTTTCTCAGCCGACCCGAGTATGCGACCTCCATTTTCATGCCTGATCCATGGTCAGAGGTGAACCCTTTTTGTGAGCTCATGAAGGGTCGAATGCGCTTGAAAACAATGAAGCTGCTTGAGGAAGGTTGTTACCAATGCCCATGCAAAATTTCGACTGTTAATTTCTTGTTGATTCAGAATTATTGACAAAAAAGCATGGCTGGTACCTGTAAGCGAACTTTTGAGACACCCTGTAGGTACGGAGCGTTATTTAAACGAGTTTTTTTACTGTAATGACTAGCGGTCTGTAAACATGTGTTATGTTTACAGACCGCTAGTCATTACAGTAAAAAAGCTCGTTTAACCCGCGCGGGGCGGGGGGGGGGGTAAATTTTACCCCCCCCCCCTCGCGAATTTTTGCAATATCTCAAAAACGGCGGCGAGCAGCTCCGCCAAACTTTCAGTACCTTTTCTTACATCAATTTGACACGTTCCCTGAAAATTTGAGCGAAATCCTTTGGAAATGTTTTGAGAGAAAATGACGTTTTAGCGACGTCATATTCGCCATTTTCGTCTCAAAAACGGCAAAATTTCAAACGCCGCTAACATCTTCATTTTTAAGGGAATCAAGACGTAACAAAAAAGGGTATACGTGATTGTACTTTGTCTATCAAATGGCTATCTCGTTTTTTTGAAAATTTTGATTTTGGCCCAATTTTTTTCCTAAAAAAACTGACTTTTTTGGGAAAATAACTATAAAATCAAAAATTTTACGTGTATCGAAAAAACCGGAATATATGTCAGAGAAGTGGTCCATGTGCACCTACATACCAATTTTTAGAAGAATCGGTTCAAAAATGTGGCATTTATTTAAAATTCTATGACGTCACGACAAACAATTTTTTTTGAAAAATGAATTTTTTGGAAGTTCTAGACCTCGTACGGAAACAAAAATAGCACCATTCGATTCGCCGTGGAAAACTGCATCAGATAGACACCTTTTTAGACCTTAACAGCCAACTTCAAAATTTGACCTCACTTGACCTGACCTTGACCTGAAATTCATCCAGATGTGGTCCATATCACCTATTGAGTGTGCCTATTGAATTCTATGAATAAAATGACCCATTAAACATGTGTCGCACATCCCCTTTTCTATATTTTGTTTTTGGTGACCTGACCTGACCTGACCTTGACCTCTGAATGATATTGTATGCAAGGAATATTGTCTTGGTAGCCTAAGAACACGTTTTGGGCAATCAGTCTCAGTCCATGACTCCATTCTTCGGCAACTACGGTGCAAGGCCGATATTGTAGAAACTTGCAATTTGTACCCTTGACCTGACCTTGACCTTGACCTCAAACTTTAAATTGAGTACATGTTTTTAGTTGTTCTTGATGAGATCTTTCGATTAGCGTTTGAATTTTCCAAATCGGACCATTAGTTCGAAAGATAACAGGGGGGTAAAATTTACCCCCCCCCAGCCCCGCGCGTTCGGCTGGAGACCCCAGCCCCGCGCGGGTTAAATAACGCTCCGTACCTGGGGCATTCCACGTCAAATCGAACAAAAATCGGCTGTTTTGCACCTTACCATCAGCGATTTCATTATAAATTTGTGAGCGAGTTCCTGTGTCGTCCCGAACATTACATTGATGTTTTTTGCACATTCTGACCACAGGTCTTCTAAATATAGGGCATCGAATTTTTACAAAATGCTGCATCTCTATATTTTTGAACGACCATAACTTTGGTTGTACTTGTTTGATTTGAATGA